GAATTTGCAGCTGTTGCTGCATCATTCGTGCAACCAATGCAGCTTCATTTTCCTGCATCATAATTCTGCTAGCATTGATGGTTTCTAAATGCGTGGCAATGGATTTTTCCATGCCAGCCCAATCATCTCTTACCGTTCGTAAAATATTTATATCAGCAGCTAAAGTAGCAGCTCTATTTCCCGTAGCTGTTGGTAAGGCAGCTTGAATTTTAGATATTTGATTATTAGTCTCGGCTAATTTTCGCTGAACATAAGTTAATTTATCAATCGTAAAATATTTATATCAGCAGCTAAAGTAGCAGCTCTATTTCCCGTAGCAGTTGGTAAGGCAGCTTGGATTTTAGATATTTGATTATTAGTCTCGGCTAATTTTCGCTGAACATAAGTTAATTTATCAGGATAGCTCATCTTAAAAAATTCATTATCTATGGAATCACTTCCACCTTGCTGTAAAGCAGGAGAAAGCTGAAGATTACTTTGGTTACCCAAATTTCCCATGGCGGCGGCTACGGCGGCGGCAGCTTCTGCAGCAGCTTCGGCTGAGGTTGCCATTATTTCAAGAAAAAAAAACGATTATTTCTTAGAATCTGTTTTGGAAAAATAAGTCAGGCACTCTTCTTGTTCAGGAGAGGCAGTGAAGTCTAGTTCACCTGGAATTTGGCGAAGAAGAGGAATCTGAGAAATTTCAGAATTTGTATCAGAGTTTGCTGTTGTGGTGGTTACTGTTGTAGTCGTGGAGGCAGACGTGTTTGGAATGGGAGAATGTTCAGGTTCGGAAGGTTGGGAATCTGTGTTACCGTAAACGCTTTCAAAAAGTCGAGAAATTAAAAGAGCGTTATATTGTTGAGCACGAGAAGTTGGGGGAGGACCAGATTGAGAAATATTTTCTTGGGGTCCGGATTTGTTAGACATAAAATACAACAATACAACAATTCTAATGAATTTCCACACTTTCTCACAATTCACTTTTTCACACTTTCACGCGCAAATTCAATTGTTTCTCGTTTTTAATCCCGAGCGGATCTCTTTCGTTTTTATCCCGAGCGGATCTTCTAGTTTAATAGAGGGTTACTATTAACACTAGGGACAAAGAACTAACTTAATAAGTTCT